CCCTGTATGGTGATGTCTGCCAGACATTTACAAATGGCAAACAAACAGGGATCACTGGAAATAGGAAAGAAAGACACAGCTCAGCTGAAAGAGGAAGAGAAAGGCAAAATGTATTCAATGTAGTAGCTCACCATAACTTGAAAGAGAGTGTTGATGCTGGATGAGAGTTGGTCCCATACATTTTACTCAGGTAGACTGCACTAATCTATCTTTGTGGTCAGTTTCCATTTGTGTTTGCCCTATATATGGGCTGTATGTTTTATACTTATGCTCAGTGTCAGCTGCATTTAAGCAACTTTATAGTTGGTTTCCATTCTTGTGGACATGCTACTTTTGGCAGCAGTTTAATAACAGACAATGTATTTAATGAGGTTTCTTTGTGTACAACTGTAAAATGAGGGATGACATTTTCTTTTACTGACTGGAGAAAAAACCTTGTCTTTCATTTGAGTACATACCGTCTTCAATATATTTCTGTCTGTTTTATATGTGGTTTATAGGGATATGAAACATACTACAGCACTTGCTACTGAACACAATTCTGACTTATCAGAGTAGTCCCACTTATTTCAGTACAACTTTGTTGAAAAGAAGAAATAACTCAAACGATCCAAACAGTGACAAATAGCAATAGGAGTTATAAAAAAAGGTCTTGCCTACTTACCCCTCAGTAAATTTTGCTTAATATAGAGTGCATTGATAATTTCCAAGATCTATTATTTTTATGTTCAGGTAACAGTGTTAAGGTGAGTTGTGCCCTAAATTTTACCTTATTTTTATATCTTGTGTGTTAGCGAAGCTGCATTAATGCCGATTTATCAAATAATAATTAACCAGTCCTCCTGTGATGTCTGTAAAATAAAGTAAATGGGATCAATTCTGTTTTCAGCTACACTGAAAAATCTAGAGTATGTTTATTTACTTCAAATTCACAGTGGAATACCAGAAAGCAGAATCCAGTCTAACACTTGCATCTCAAGCACTCACCAGCCACAGTGAAGTAATGAACTATTATGCAGTATATGCATTAAAAAACCAAAATTTACAATAAGGAAACTGTTTTCAATGTCATAGTTATCATGTTATTATAATAAAGAACAGTGGGTAGAAATGTTTTGACTACACTCGTTTAAGTAAAGAAAGCTATCAGGCAACAAATACAGTACAGGTGTACTTAATTTAAGCCCTTTTTCATGGCTTTCATTAATTAGCCCAAGAAAGAAAATAAAACATTTTATACAGTGTTCTGTTCTAAAAAGCTGCAGTATTGTCACATGAAGACTTCAGCTGCTGATACAGTATTAAGGAAATATCTTCAAACTCCAATCTCAATTAATTAGGCCAACCTTTCACAATCTCTTATACATCTAATTTTCAGTTACTTCAGCTTGTAAACCCTTATGAACCTTACAAGATCTTTGAGAACAGGAGTGTTATTCTTTTGTGTTTTTTGTATTTGGAGCTTATTGGCTTTGAATAATATTAGGCATTTCCAAACTCAGTTTTCAAGACTAAATTGAAGACCTGGGTTTTTTAATTTGTGATGTAGTTGATTTGTTAGTTTACTTATATTATCAAATATGGTGATTGATTAATGAACAGACTCTTAAAAAGATACTTAAGTTGCCTAAAGACACAGATAGATGCTGAAAGTACCTTTTACAATTTTGATCCTTATAGCATTTATAGGACTGAACTACGCAAATGTAACTCCAATTAACTTTAAAATCAATAGTTTTGTAAAAAGACTGCATAAACAGTCTGTAAATGTGAAAGGCATAATATACATAATATAATAGATAATATCATAAAATACATGCCAGGCCAGAATGAACATCTAAGAGTGCTTTAGTGTGGCCAAAGTAAATAAACACATCTCTTATTTTGACCAAAACTCTGTATACTTGCCATAAACAAAAGATAAGGTGGATATTTTTGTTCTAAAAAGCTCTAATGAAAAACAAACATTTTTCCTGATTCTGAAATCATCTTCCTTAATAACCCATTCTTCTCACTCCCCTATCCCTTGCTGACTGCATTGGAGGCTTTGGACTTTTTACCCACCCCTGCTACTTCTATCTCCTCCCATTTTCTATTCATTCTCTTCTTCCCAGCAAGACACTTCATTTCTCCGCACCCCTCCCTCCCCTTAGCTGTTATAACAGTTTCAGGAATGTCTGTTTTGAGCAATGAATTAATTTTTCTTTTGTGTTTGTCACCTACAGTATGAATTAGAAAATCCATTTTGAAACAGTAGATGATTGTATCTAGGAAGCTGAAGCAGGGCCATCAACAGCTACCCTAGTGACTTATTGCTGGAAGAGGGCTTTATTTTTAACAGCTTTGCCAAATGACAGGGGTTGGAACATAGAACATCCATATAAAGTGTGAGAAACTGCATTTAAAGATGACATGTTGCCTAAGAAAAAGGGGGCTAAAACAGATACCACTAGAGAAGGTAGAGCTGGAGAGGCTTTGCCAACCCATAGGGACATGGACAAATAGGCAAGGACTCCCAAACGTGATGACAAATCTGAAGGCAGAATTCATTCAAAGAACTGTTGTTTTGCATATCTGAAACTTTCCTATGCTTCCTAATAGTAAAGTATTATATTTCAAAACTTCCTCTGCAAAGCCTGTGTTCATTACTTTACCTGTCATACATCTTCAAGAGAGTTACTATAAAACAGAGCAGGCACAGAGAAAAAGAGTACTGAGGAAGCATATATAAGCAAAATGGAGAAGTTTTAAAATCTCAACACTGGCCTTGAAGCCTAGCATAGTTGCAGTGACAGCTGTCTCATGCCGTTTCTCATCTGTAGATACATTCACACCATTCTGCCTCCGATTTTGATATCAGGTTCTTTTTCTCAACACTCAATGACTTCAGCCTTGACCTCACCCTCTTCCCTTAATTTCTTTGCTTCAGCTTAATCTTGAATCTATTCCAAACTTGCCAAGCAGTCACTCGCTTTACCTTTGACTTCTCTGACACCAAGGTGTCACCCCACAGTCTTTCCTACATATTCTAGGCAAAATTGTACTCCTAGAAATAGTACGTCATCAAAAAAACAGCATTAGGTTTCTCTACTCTTGGAAGTTGGTTAAGACTAAAGGTAGGAAAATCTATAATTTCCCCTGATTAACTCTTACTGCAGAATAAAAATTGTCCACATACAGACTGCCTTGTTCCTGTTTAATTCAATCTACTTTCAAAGCAAATTATGATGAATCTGAACAAGGCTCTCCTATTCCAGATTGAAGCCAGCTATGCATTTACAGAGAAACAGCAATTCCTAAGGAACTCTATGTGTAGGCAAGCCTTTAATAATAATAAACTAGAAGAAAACATAATAAATATCTGGGTATATTTTAGACTAATACCTAGAAGCTAGGATGTATACGTCTTCATAAAAATAAGAACACTACTTAACACATTTTCCAGCTTGTTGCTAAGAAACTACTGCTTCATATTTTTATTGTCATTTGCAGAAGAATTACTGGTTGTTCCTTTGCCGCTTATGTCAACTGATTATAAATAACCAAACATATCATTTAAATTATCACTTGTATAGCTGGCCTACCATTTTTGTTCTATCGTATTGTCTGATACAATATAAGAGAAAAGAGGTTAAGAAAAAATGTATTTTTGCAATATCGCTGAAAATACCTAACACTTTCTTCTTGTTTTTACACACTGTAATATTTCTAAGGATTTTTATTTACTTGTTGCCTCTCTAGAGATCCATTACCAGACCCTAATCAAGCCCTATGTAAACTGTAATTCTGCCTAGTGCTTTAAAAATCACCTGGAGAGGAGGAAATGGATGCACTGTCTTTGTTTACTAATTAAAAATATAGAGAACAACAGAAGATTTCATTTGATGGGAGTAATTTTACTAAAGAAATACCATACATATCAGTTACTGTGTTACCTGTTTTTACAGGAGGTCTCCCCTAGTGCTCTTGTTGAAATTAATGGCAAAAGTCTCAGTGGTACACTATTAGGCCTATACAGAAGCAAATTGACAACATAACCCTTAAGTATAGGAATATAGTGCTGGAAGGCATCTCCTAGACAGCATCAGATCCCCTCTTTTGTAATGACAAATAAGTGTCCTTTCTAACACTGAACAAGTTCCATCTTAAAGCTTCACTTCCTGGCTGTTCCAGAACCTCATTGCTCTGACAGTTAAAAACCTGATTTCTAGCCTAAATTTATTCATGGCCACTAAACCTCCATTTGTTTTTGTGCCAAGAACAAGTAGTTCTTTTCCTCTCTACTGCTTACCTCCCTGGTGTATCTAGAGAGAGCATTCATAGCCCTTCTAAGCCTTAATTTCTCTAGGCTAAACGAGCAAAACACTTTTAGTTCCCTCTCATATGACTGGTTCTCCTTTCCCCAGATCATCCTAGCAGCCCTTCTCTGCACCTGTTACACAATTGCTTCATCCTTCCTGAATATGGGTGACTGGGATTGAGCACAGAATTCCAGATGAGGTTTTTCCCTGTGCAGCATACAATGGCATTCATGACGGAAGTTGTCTCCACTGGAAATATTGCTCCTGATATAGTCTGGCGTGATTGTTGCCTTTTATAGGACTTCTTATAATCTCTATCTGGCTCATAATGACCCTGTGGATCAATTAATATACCTGTCTTTCTCCTCTAGACCCATTTAAAACTAATGAACTCCTAACTTATAGCAAAAAAGGACTGTTACTTATCACCAAGTGCATGTGCCTGCCCTTTGTACTACTTAATTTCGTCCCATTTCTATTATTCCAGTTCTCATGTTCATCCAGGTCTTTCTGTTTGATATCCTGACCTTCCTCTGTTTTGACAATGCCTCCCAACTTTGTCAATATAAAATTTCATCCTATTTCTAATGGAATCATTAACAAAAATATTAAATAACACGATTCCCAAAATTAACCCTTGAGGAATTGCAATAGTAACTTCCTTCAAGCACAGTACTTTCCCTTGAGCCAGTTCCTTACTCACCTCAACATTCTTGTAGTAATCCTCCATCTTCTCCAGCTTAATGATTCTCCATGTATCACTGTCAGACTGATATGCCTCCAGTTGCTTGCATCACTCCATCACCTTAAATATAGGTACTGCATTAATTATTCTCAATCATATAGTACCATTTCTGACTTGATATGTTGTTTTTTTTTTAAATACCTGCTACAGGATCTACAATTTTGTGCACCAGTTCTCTAACATTCTTGAATGGTAGTTAGCCAGAACCTGTGATTTACATTTATTAACTATAGGAGGATGAGATTTTAATTTTTCTAACAATGTGAGCTGTATCCCAAAAGGCTTGAGAGAGTTAAGAAACAAATTCCAAAGTTAAAATAAAGAACAAAAGCAGGAAGAGAGATTATAAGAGATATAGGAAAAGATAAAAAGGTATGTTTTCAGTTTAGGTTTAATAATAGATGGCATTAATGAAGTGGAGGAAAGAAATTCCAGATGGAAGAGGCCACAGAGGAAAGGGTTCTTACACCAGTACAGCGTGGACAAGATAGAAAGAAGATTCCACTTAAAAATTCTCACTCAATTAACTGCCCCGCTCTTAGCATTATTCCTATCTCATGGCTATTTATGGTTGAGCTGAAATGCTCTCATTACTGAAGTCAATGACAAAGAGTCCATTGACTTTAATGGACCCAGGATTTTAGCCTTAGGCAGGAAGGCCTAATTTGCCATTCCAAGGAAACAAACAAAAAGTACAGCATCTACAGCATGCAAAGCACAAGAGGCTTGAACACTCCGAGGGCCAGCAGCTTGACCAGGCTCTTTTGCTCTGAAAGACTGAAACAGATCAGAACATTCTGAAAAAATTATTACAAAGAGATTTAATTTTGTACAATGTGATTTACTCACACCCTGTAGTTCAGTTTAAAGTAAGTGGACACAGAACTACCTGACAAAAGACAAACAAGGTACATGGAGCAATGTGGACACGGGTTCTAATGAATTAAACCTGTTTTGGTTGATTCCTGTGCAGATAACATGGCATACAAGTTATTTTAAGATTTGTTCCCACAGCAGCTAATGATAATTTTGCCATCAGTTCCAATAACAACACAACAGAGAGGCTAAAATTTGGGTGTCAAAAAAGGTCTCTGGTTTGGCCTACTATAAGAGAAATCTTATACATTATGCAGATCTCCCAAATATTAAAGGCATATATATGTATATAGTTACCATTATATTTAATTTCCTATTATATATAGCATATCACACAAGTTTGCATGTGCTAACATAATTTATGGATATGCATACGTACAAATGGCACAATTTATAACTACTACTATTACATGTCACTGTCCTCACTTCAAAACTGTAATTGAATGGCTAGTGATTTACAGAAATCTTGAGTACATACCTGTTTTGTATATCATCTGTATTTTGACTGACAGCCAGTTTTCAATGTCAGTACTGCTGTTGTGTTTACAGCATGTATAATAGCTGAGTTTTAAATAGGACACTAATGTGCACTTGTTATAAAGGACAGCTTGACACAACGCATTTGATGCAGCGCTACTTTGAAGTTATGAATTCTTTCCCCTAACTCAGGAAGATTGATGCTATTTCTAAAACTAAGCAGATACATATTTTTTTCTTGACTGTGTAAGCAATTCAGAATGTTAATACTACTTCTTGTATAGGGTCAAAACAAGAGCTTGTCACCCCTATAGAATCAATACACCATACTGGGCTTAAACATTCAATAATGACAAGCAGACAATATGTTTTTCAAATGAAAAAGACAGGTTACATTTCATGGAGAATTGTTTATAATTTCCAAGTCTCTGATCAAGAAAGGGTACTGCTTCCCAACAGTAGATTTTTAAAGAAACTGTACATCATAAAAACACCTTTCTTCTTCATGCTTGTAAAATATAGGAAAGTATAATCCAAGGCCCATGTTTGAGGATTTATCATCCTATTCATTGTAACCCCTCCTTCTTGGGCAGTGCCACACTCTTTGAACTCTAAATCCCTGTGTAGCAGGCCCACACTGGTCAATCAGTGTGTAAGGTCCACTGTTAATTGGATCGGCCTGCCTCTGGGCTTCCCCAGCCTATTCCCAACGTTCACCTCATCTGCTGTGACTTGGTCTTAACCTAAACATCTTAAAGATTTTGGAGGCTGCCAACAAGACCAGGGTTGCCCACTGCCAGGTGCCCAGTGCGGTAAGTGGTCTCCTGGACTTGCATGCTACCTTCCACCCAAAAGGGGTGTGGGGGAGTCATCCTAATCCAGACCACCCTCCTACTCTGAGCCTCAAGGGTATTAATTGTGACCTCCTCCCTCCCCCCTTAGCCAATGCCCTTGCCTCATGGGTGTTGTCTGACATCATATTTAAGAGGCTTCTCACCTCACCAGTGATAAATCTGCAACACGTGCAAACACCTGTTGGGGTTTCAGACATTCCCAACTCCACCTCTTTTTCTTTAGCTGGGCTGTATCTGCTGCAGGCCCACTCTGCCAGGAACCAGCTCAGGAGCTCCAGCCTGCCCTGTTTCCATCCTCTCTCCAGTGTCAACCCTGCCTGGGGCAGGGGTTCTATCCTGGTTGTGCCTCACTGGCTCCTCACTGTGGCCCCAAGCTCCCCTTGTCGCCACATTCTAGGGCTGTGCGAGGATTCAGATCTGGAGAAGCTTTGGATGCTTTGGGGTCTGAAGCAGCATGTCTGGGTCAAAGCACTGGCCTCACTAGGCTCCCCAAAACAGTTCAGAGCTTCCAAAGTGCTTTGGAGCCGCCTCAGAGATCCGGCCATAGGGAATAATGGGGAAACAATAAAATATCTATAACTTTGGGGGGGGGGTTGTCCAATTTGGATGAAATGTTCAGGGGTGGTAGACTCTGCGGAGAGCATGAAGCCTGGCAAGCTTCAAGAAGATCGGTGCAGGGGTTTGGGGGGAACTGCACCCCAAATTCTTTAAAGCAAAACTCCTGTCATGTCTATGTGTTATACCACAGGGGGTGAAAACTGCAGGGGTGGTAGCCCCTGGTGAGGCCACAAAGTCTGCCAGGTTTCAAGAAGATTGGTACAGAGGTTTGGGGGGAACTGCACCTCAAGCTGAGGACAAGCAAAACTCATGCCATGGGTGACACTGTGTGTGTTAAGGTGCAGTGGGGGGACAGCTGCAGTGATGGTGGCCCCTGCTGCGGCCACAATGCCTGCCAGCTGTCAAGGTGATTGGTGTAGGGGGGTTCTGGGGCCCTGCACCCCTAGCTGCTGACAGGCAAAACTCGTGACATGGGTGCTTGTGCAACTGACTGTGTCTGTCTTGGGGCAGGGAGACACTACTGCAGACCTGGCTGCTAAGCTACTGTGTTACCAGTTACCAATCAATCATGATTCACTCAGGGATCTGCTCAATACACAGGATCTAGCTAATGTAGCCAGTTAATTGCCATCAATTAGCACCTACAGAACCAGACTCAGGGGAGGGAAGAATCAATACAGACAATCAACTGCCCCAAGACAGGCACAGTCAGTCCCACAAGCACCCATGGCACGAGTTTTGTTTGTCAGCAGCTAGGGGTGCAGGGCCCCATAACCCAGAATCCCTGCACTGATCTCCTCCACAGCTGGCAGGCTTCGTGGCTGCAGCAGGGGCCACCATCCCTGC